GACAGATTGGTAGCTTGACTTGTAACTCTGGAACGTTTATCCGTGTAGAGTGCGGGCTTCCCTGGATCTCTCACCCCAACCCCACATTCAGAATCACGTGGGAGCCGTGTCCTGGCTCCTCCCCTGCAGTCCTCGCACCACCTTTGCCTCGCTGGGTCAGCAGAGGTGGTCCTGCTTTCAGCTCCACTCCATCTCGACCTGTCTCCCTCACCTCTTGGAGTCTAGATGGTGGCCCGCATTCCAGCTCAGGCGTCTGTCCTGCACAGTCTGCTCTACGAAAATCTGCCTGGCGGTTGGTCTCTGGGAGACTTTGAACTTGTATTTTGGAAGTAGCTGTGTTTTGCCCCTCCTCACTCCCACCCTCCGCTGCCCCGGGCCCACACATGCTTGCTCCCTGGCCCCGTGGCTCCTCTGTAGAGGCTGACTCCCTGCAGGCCCCCATGTGCCCCTTTCTGGCTTCCTCTGCCGTGACTCCTGCCAGCTTCTTGCAGTTTGGTCTGCTTCCCGGCTCGGCACTTTCTGGCTGCTTCTCCCGCATGTCCTTAGCAATTTCAATTGCTCTTCCCAGTGAGATTTCCCTCCTCCCTTTGCTTCTTGTGTCTTTATGGGAAATAGGGAATTAGTTGTTTTATTCCCAATTTTGGTGTTCCCCCTCCTTCTACCTCTCACATATTCAGTCTCCACCTCACTGGAAGGAAAAATTATGACAATGACAACACTTGCTTTGACTCCCACAGACTAGATGACAGTCAGCTTCTGAAACCGGGATATGGCCATATAGACCAGTGATTTTTCCAATCGTTGCTCTGTTTTTATTTCCTTTCAACTTCATTTTCTTTTTTCCTTTAATGGAAGTTGCCAAACAGCTTTATAAAGTAACTGGAAATATACCAAAACTAAGATCAGTTTTTGCTCAGAGTACTTTCCCTGTGTAAATATGAGTTACTGAGATGACGGAATGGCTCCCTCGTCCTTTGTGCCTCCGCAGATGAGTGATGACAGGCCAGAATTGTTCGTCTAAGACAGGGAAGGAGGAAAATAACATCAGGCCCAGTAGGGATAAAGGCCAAGATTAATTACACCGTCAAAGCGGAAAGAATGAGTGAGAGATTCTCGCAACTGAGCCGGACTGTGTTCATCAGTGTGGTGTTCACATACAGCTGTCGTTATGACACGGGTCGGAGCAGCACAAAATCGTGATCCCGTAATCTCCCCGCATGCTGAAGCATACATTTAATCTCAGAATTTACCATTTCCCAGCCTATCTAGAAATCATAGCTTTCAGTAGGGGGTGGGGAATAGCGCATGGTTTTTTAAAAGGAACTTAAATACACAAGACTAAAGACAACTAGAATGCTGCGCCTCTGAGACGTGTCATAGCAACACAGAAAAGCAACAGGCAGCCCCACAACGAGAACTCCTTCCATTATGTAATCTTAAAAATAGATATTTATCATTCTGCCACACAAAAAATAAAAATATGTAGAAAGCTAGGAAACTCTTTAAAGAAACAGCTTATTAATAAAACACAATGAGATCCTCATGTTTCATGTGATTCTAATAGTTAAATGATTTTGGTTCTAAGTCTGTTCAGAATGATCTCTTATTTTCTCTATCACATATGAAAGTCACAGATGACAAAACGGTCAAGATTGCTGATTTTGGAAATTTATGCACCATGAGCCCTGTTGCTGTCAGTAAATTGATTTTCGGAAGTGGTGAATAATTCTCGTCAAAGTTCCAAGCAAAGCAAAGTATAATCTTCACTCGATTAAGATGGTCGTTGTATTCTTGGAAAATTCAGTGTGTAATAAAATTTTGTGGAAAGAAAGTAGTATTAATATGTAAAATAGTTTTTCCACTTACATAATTTTAAACAGGTGTTTCACCCACGTGAATGTCTGCCTGGATATTTGACAGCCCATCAGGATGCAGGACAGTCCTTCATTGTACAGTTCTGTCCACTCTAGGACTTAACCATGGCTGCCTCCCACGTGCTGAGTAGTATCAGAGGCCCCCCTCCTAACTGGGACCACCCAGAATACTGCCATCAATTTCCAGAACACCCCCCAGGGGGCAGTGTAGCTCTGTTGAGACCCACGGCTCCATCTCCACCTGGACACTGCTTCCTGAATCTCCATGATTTCTCTCTCCTCTACTAGTCCCATAACAGGCCACCTTCGTCTTTTGTCCTGGAATCCTTCAGAACGGAACCTCTGTCTCAAGCCTCAGTGCCCTCTGACCCACTGCACAGTTATTTCAGACTCATCTTCCTAAAATATACACCTGGACTTCTGGCCAAGATGTGTGTGATTTCACATGGAAGACCCTTCCAGCTCCCAGCTCCACGCAGTATAGCAAAGGTGTAATATATGAAGACACGCAAACACAGTCATCCTCACAAACAGATTGCTCCACAGGGAGAGAAAACATAGAACAAAAGCACCAGGATGTAAGCAGTGGCTCTGAGAGCTAAGACAGGCAGTGGCTCTGAGAGCTAAGACGGGCAAAGGCTCTGAGAGCTAAGACGGGCAGAGGCTTCTGACCTCTACTGTGGAAGCTGGGCTGGAAGTCCCCAGTCGTTGCGGGGAGACAACAGACAGAGCTACGTGTCAGCCTGATTGTCCCTCATGGGGGCGTCCCGGTGCACTAACCCAAGTCAATGCCTCTACCTCTGGAGAGCCTTCAGGGGGCCATCGCCTAGAAGGGCCACAAAGGAGCCAAATTTCTTACTGCCCAGGAAACTGTTCTGCAATGTCTCTTCAAACAAAAGTCCAGATACACCAATACTTTTTAATGGAGGCCCTGCTGAGAGGAATTGTACATCTGCCAGGACCGAGAGGCAGGAAGATGGCGGGAGGCGGAGAGGTGGAGAGGGAGACACAAGAATTTCCTACACAAGATGAGCTTGCGGACTAAAATTCTAGAGCCCATAGCGATAATAAAATGAAAAATAACCAAAATATTTGAAACCACTCAACAAATAGGAAGACTCAATTCTAAGTAAATGCGAAAATAGAAAAGTCTTCTAGAAAAATAAATGTCCTTAAAGTCCTCAAAAATTTTAAAAAAGGAATAACATCCCCCAAAAAAGCCAGAATAGAATCTACATGACAAAACAATTAGTTATGAATCAAGGACAGTAGAGATTTGGGGAAAGTAGAAGAGAGGAAGAAAAGGAGATGATATGAATGAAGGAGAAACAGCACTTGGAAATCCTAGAAACTGACATTTTAATCATTGTTATTAGAAACTTAACAGGCGATATAAATTGTAGCCAAAGAGAATATTAGTAAATTGGAAGGGAGAGCAGAAAAGTTGAAGCAGTGCCTGCACAAAGATATAAAGAGATTTTTTTCAATATGAAAAGGATTTAAGAGTAAAGGATGAAAGGATAGGCTGAAATGCTCCAACACGAGACGAATCAGAGTTCCAGACATGAAGAGTAAGGATGCATAAGAAGCAGCTGAAAATACAAGGCTGATAATTTTCCTGCATTGCAGAAAAATGTAATCCTCACATAAAATGTGCACAGTGACTCTTGAGGAGTAGAGATAAAGGTCAATCCACACCTGGACACATCTGGCATAAAGACAGACAAAGAGAGCAGTGACACAAAGAGAGGGCCCACCAACAGCCCCGCTCCTACACGGGCGCTTGGTATGCACCCAGAAGGACGGTACAAATCAGCCAAGTATTTTGAGCTTTGATAGTTCAGCAACGTTCTACGAAAAGACGAACTCCCTCCCCCTCCATATTTTAACACATATGTATTCAGAGATTTTTGGAGATTGAAAGAAGTGAAAATAAGTTGCACCATCACTTTCCTGCAGCCCCCTGTAGCACTCATCATGAGAGTCTTTTAAAAACTTTGTGAAATCGCCATGATAAAATTTTTCGCATCAATGAAACCCTTTGAGCCATTTGAGGAAATATCCCCCATTTTTCTGAGTGATGATGAAATAAAGGGCATGATGTCTGGACACACTGGAGAGACTGGCAGAAGAATGTTTTAACTCTATGTGAGAAGAATAAAACCCACTCTGTGTTTTGTTAAAGATTATTATAATTTCCAAAACAGTGAGAAATACAATCTACATAGAGAAAATCTAAGTCCCAATTAAAATAACTAGAGCATCAAACTATCGATGGTTTATTTGTTGTCTGATGAAAGGAATTTCAGCCAGATCCCTTCTTAGGAGAATAGAGACCAGAGCAATCTCCTCGCCTGGGGATGGACACTTGGTTTAGGTCCTGGAAGGCAGAGTAGCAGACTTTCCATAGACAGAGAAAGTTTACAGGGAAGAGGAGAAATTAGCCAAGCTTGTAGATAGATTATAGTATTGGAATTGATAAAGGACTCATATCCATGAAAAAAGAATTTAAAAAATTAAGAAATCTGAACTTGTAAAAATTAACTAAAAGCATAGTATTACTTGAAAAAAGCAATTCAATTTTTAAAAAACATAGAGGTGACAGTGTGTCCAACATAAATCTCACAGGAACACAAGAAAGAGAGAGAAGACACGAGATAGAAGCAATTTTCAGAGAGATAATTATCCAAAATTATAGTAAAACTGTAATATCAAAGAGGAAAAGTTAATCCTAAAACCTAAAACAGACATCAAATTTCCTTTAAATAGAACAAAAGCATAGAGATTGTATTACTAAATTAGATGAGAGCAATACAAAAAAAGAAAACTATTGACCAATTACACTCACGAACACAGACGCAAAAATCCCTTTAAAATATGGCAAACAATTGAACTCAACAGTGCTTTTAAAAAACACCAAGAATAGGCTTCACCCAAGACATGCAAAGATGGTTTGTCCTCAGGAAGTCTATTAAATAAGAGAAATAACATATCAACTTCTCAATAGTTGCTCACATGTAGCAACTCAATACCAAAAAGTATTTGATGAAATATAATGCTCGCTTTGCTATTAAGAAAAACAAACAAAAACATTAGCAAACGAAGAATGAATTGGAACTTTCCTACCTGATGTATTAGTTGGGGTCCAGCCAGAGATGTAGAGTCCAGCCAAATAGTCCTATTGAAGGAGCCTAACTTAGGAAACTAGCCACAAAGATGTAGGGAGAGCTGAAAGCCAAAAAGATGGCGGAAATTAGTGAATTGGGAAGCTATCACATCCCTAGTGGAGGGACAATGGAGGAGGTGGAGTAGATAGAGCCCGAGACCCAAGGCCCTCGGGAAGCTGCATTCATATGGAGACTCTCTGCATAGTGAGGACCAGGAAACAAGGGCCTGTCTTGTGGGAGGTGGATCCTGGAGGAGGTGGAGCCCTGGAGCAACAAGAGTAGGGGAGAAAGTCCTTGGCTCCTCCCTTCCTTCCACTCCAGTTGCCTAGCAGTGCGTTCTATTGGCCAATGCTGGGAGTGCCTGGGAGATGTCGTTTACAGGAAAACGGGCAGAGATCTGAGAGCAAAGACACAATTGACCACCATACCTGACATATCCACAAGCAAACAAACTTTAAAGGCTTTCCCTTAGGTCAGAAACAAGACCAGAGTACACTCAGCACCACCTCTATTCAACATCCTATTGAAAGACCTAGAAAGAAATGAAAAGCTAGTGATAGGAAAGGAGTGTACAAACATACTTATCTACTGACACTATGTCCACATAGAAATCTAAGAGGATTCTCAGACCTATCATTAGAGTTAATAAGAGAATTCGTAAGGGCCACTGAATATAAAATCAATAAACAAAATAGCTTGTCTTCTTTTTTTTTTTAAAGATTGGCACCTGAGCTAACAGCTGTTGCCAATCTTTGTGGGTTTGTTTCTTTTTTCACTTTTCTCCCTAAACCCCCCCCCCCAGTACGCAGTTGTATATTTTTAGTTGTGGGTCCTTCTAGTTGTGGCATGTGGGACACCGCCTCAACATGGCCTGATGAGCAGTGCTGTGTCTGCACCCGGGATCCGAACCAGGGAAACCCTGGGCCGCCTAAGGGGAGCATGTGAACTTAACCACTCAGCCACGGGGCCTGGCCTCACAAAATAGCTTTTCTATAGTCATTAACAAACAATTAGAAAATGTAATAGAAAAGGATACCATTCTCTATAGCAACAAAATCTAAACACATCCAAAAATAAAACTAACAAAAACTGTGCAAGATCTTTATGGAGAAATTTGGAAGACATTATTGAGACCTGAATAAAAGAATAGCAATACTATATTCATGATGACAGGCTCAAGACCTGAAGAGGGTGAAATGTCCCCCAAATAATATATAAATTTAATGTAATTCCAATTTAAATATCAACAGGGTTTTTCATGCAACTTAATAAGCTGACCCTAAATCATATGAAAAATCAAAAGGAGAAGAATAACAACGAAAATGTTTAGAGAACAAGGACTCAAGAGTAAATATTAAGTTATTTATGTTAAAGTTTTATCATATAAGCTAGGAGACTATTGACACAGGGAAAAGCTGAACAGGACACTGAATGGAATCCAGAAGCAGACATAGGAATATATGGACATGATATGTGGTAGAGGTGGATTGCAAATGATTCAATAATGGGGCTAAGGTGATTGGTTACCCAGTGGGAAAAAATTGTCACGTGCCTACCCTATACCATACACCTAAATAAGTCCCAAAGCATTAAAACCCCAAAAATCTCAAAAACAAAATTCTAAAACATTTGAAAGAGAATATAGAATCTTTTTATAACTTTGTTTTAAGAAAGAATTCCTTAAACAAGGCACAAATTTCACAAATCTAAAGGAAGTTATTAATAAATTTGACGTTAACAAAAACTTCAACACAGCAAAAGCTAAAGAGTAGGAGAAGATATTTGCAACACATATGACTGAAGAAGAACCGGTACCCAGAATAAATACAAGAATTCCTAAAAATTAATATAAATAATATTAAAAACAAAATTTAAAAATAAGTAGAAGATTGGAATAGATACTAGTCATAGAATAGGAAATCTAAATGGCCAAAAAACTGTGTGAAAAGATGATCAAACTGACCAAAAATCAGTTATATTAATGAAAATTAAGAAAAAGTTAACCTGCCATCAAATTAACAAAAATGTAACAATCTACCGATTCCAAGGTTTGGCAAGTATGTTGAGAAGCCACCATGGGACGATAAAATTGGTACAAACACCTTGAGAGCAATTTGACAACATCTATTGAAGTTGGTGGACATACCTTGTGTATTAGTCAGCTATCGCTCACTAAAGCTGCATGACAAACGCCCCAATAGCCAGTGGTGTAAAGTAACAATTACGCTCATGCTCACAGCCCAGTGGAGAACAGATGGATGTTGCAGTATATTCATATAATGGCCCGCTAGTTGGCAGTTTAAATGAATGAACTAAAGCTGTATGTATCAACATAAATAAATGTCTAACACAGAATGTGGAGGAAAATAAGCAAGTTACAGAAGAATAACGCTTAGTATAGTGTAATTTATATTTAATGAAATTTTAAACTCAAACCAAATATGGCGAAAGCACTTCCATGTCCCTGTGTGTTCATTAAAACAGCCTGTCAGACAAGGAGGTTAGCTGACAGAAACATCACTTCCAGAAAAGCTATTTTGAAAAAACCCATGGTATTCTGATGGTTTCAAATTCCACATGTAGTGCCCTGGACAGTTACTCTGCACCATATTTTATGTCGCTCTTTTAGGCATCTGGACCATAACCGGTAGGCAGCCAACAGTCTCTTCACTTTTATAAAGACCTAAGTAATAGTTTGAGGTCATGCTGGGAAGTCTCAGAGCCAATAAATTGCAGCCCCACTGTACTTATGTCACGGCCTCCATATGACTGCACTGGCCTGAGGCGCCCGTTTATGGCCCAACTGTACAGCAGACACATGAGAAAACACCACAGACCTAAAAATACCCATCCTGTTGTATGTTTTCTTATGACACAGTCACCACACTCGGTAGAGTCACATATTGCAAAGAGGAGACCGCTTGGGTTGAAACAAGGACCGGGTGTGCCCGGTGGTGCCAGGCTGCTACCCGATGGGAGCCATGCCTGCCTTCAGAAAAAAATCTGTCGGGAATTAGCAGGGCCCCAGCCACAGACCGAGGTTCAGGGGCAGAGCTCAAAGCCCCAGTGACGAAGGAGACAAGAAAAAAGCCAGGACACAGGGAAAGAAGGAACAGAGCACCAGCCAGTTTGTAAAGCAGGGCCTGGAGCGCAGGGACTTAGGTACTCACACGTCAGTGAGTTAGCCTGCACCCTCTACTGAGGGCCCAAGACGCCAGGCTCTGTGCAGGGGGCTGGGCACAGAGACATGCCCCCTTTTTCCATCCGGGCCTACGAACTCCTGTACTGGTACATGCAGGCAGAGATGTCGAAAGTCTGCAAGCTACAGTGAGAGAGATTATTACTGTTGGATAGAAACTTAGAACGGCGGGCAGGATCTGGGGGCCTAGTGGTTACATTTGGCGTGCTCTGCTTCAGCGGCCCGGTTCCATTCCCAGGCGCACACCTACATCACTCCTGAAAGTAATGATGGAGATTAGAGAACACAAGTGAGTATTTATCTTTGTAATCTGGGGACCACTTTATTACCATGAGCTTGGATTACTTTAATATTGATTTATAATCATGTCATTTCTTAAAAATAAAGCAATAAAATGCTTGTTCCACAATCAGCTTTACTAATGTATGAACAGGCCCAAAGGCATCAAGTGACTTACACAAATTTACATGTCAAATTAGTGCTAGAGCCAAGGGTGGAATTTAGGTCTCCCAGATTCCACCTTCTGATCAAGATATATACTGTAAATACAGACATACTCCATAGGATGTGGCCAGGATTCCAAGACACTTTATCTTAAATTTTGAGAGTTAGTGGAAGAAACTGTTTGATCTACAAGCTTTATAAATTGCTTTTAAGGCATATTTTTATAATGCTTTGTTTTAGAGCCAAAAATCTGCCTTCGTTTTAATAATCACATTTATATCTGAATTCTATAAATACTCCAAAGTAATGGGTAGGCATGGAGCCAGTATTAGAAAGATGTATTATTAAAGATTTCATAGCTTTGATTTTATAAGAAAAACCTAAACAACAACATCAAAGCCTAGTTCACTGAAAATTTTTCTAGTTGCTTCAAAAATTGTCTCTAAAATGACAGAAATAAGCCCAGCTTCCCAAGCCTTGCTATCCAGCTGGGATTTCACATCATTTTTTCCTGTCTTACCCTTCCTGGGCCACATCAACCTTCACGCTCTCCCGCTGTGCTGTCAGCTCCACTTCTGCCGATTTCGGCCAATGACTATCGCGTTCACGGACCCTGCTCACATTGGGCTCTCAGTAACAGCTCTTGTTTGAGATTCTCATTTCTGCTTTTCTCTCAGATCTTCAGTCTTCATCTACCTATTCTTTTATCTTTTATCTAATCTTATTTCTGGAGGGTCACATTTAGTCAGATGAGATTATAATTTTGATCACCTATAGTTAACATCCACAAAAACACCATTACATTTTTCTTTTCCTCAATATTGGTCAAGATTAAATAGGGATACTGGAAATGACTAGAATGTACAGACTCTGATTCAGGGGCAGGTGAACAGGGAACTCCCAGCAGAGAGCAAGAGGTGACATCAGAGGAGCACGGTGGGAGATGACCAGGGGGCGATTTGACAGGAGATAGGCTCACTATTAGGGTTTCAGTAACAGGAAACAGAATAGGTGGAAGTCAGGAAAGGCAGGATGTCAGAGAGATCCAGTAGCAATTACACCCAAGATATAAGAGTGCAATATAGGAATGGTGTTGTCAAAGCTGGCTGCCTACTCAATATCCATTTCCATCCCCCTTTTCCATGAAAAATGAAAAAGAAAGGAGAGAAGAAGAGAAGAAGGAGGGTAAAGAGGAAGAGAAGGAGAAGGAAGAGAGAAAAAAGAAGAAAGAAAAGAAATACAGCTGTCCCCTCTTATCTGCAGGGGAACAAGTTTCCAAGACCCCCAGTAGTGCCTGAAATCATGTATGGTACCAAACTCCATATAGACTATGTTTTTCCCTGTACATCCATACCTATGATAAATTTTAATTTATAAATTAGGCACAGTAAGAGATTAAGAACAATAATAATAAAAGAGAACAGTTGTAACGATACGCTGTAATAAAAGTTACCGTAGATCTTAGCAATCTCAGCATGCGATTTTTTTCTTTCCATATTAAGTTGAGAAATTTCACCTTTTCACTTAAAGGAAGCACTTTACGGCTTCTCTTTGGCTTATCTGACTAGACAGCATCACTACTCTTGGGCTTTGGGGCCATTATTAAGTACA